ATGTGTGTGTGTGTGTGTGTATATATATATATATATATATAGTTTGCATAGTCAAAGTCAAAAATACTAAGATCTTTTATTTACCCATTACGTAGTTCCTGGGCCTATGTAAGATTTTTGAAATCAGCTGCTTGTTAGAGTTCATATGTTAACTGAAAAAGACAGAATATTTTTACAGCTCTCCATTTTCTTTCTTTTTGCTATAGGGCATGGGTATTTCCCAGAGAGACAGAGATGGAGAGAGAGAAAGTGAGAAATTATCCCTTGGGGGTATGGCCATGTCGTGATCCCTTCTCCATTTTCCTCCTGGGATTTTGGGCACACATGCACATTTGTCTGGCATGAGTTTCAAGCCACCAGGTCTAAGACTCACTTTATGGTCAGCCATGTGAGAGGCCAGTACCTTAACCACTATGCCAACAGCTGATCGCAGCTCTCCATTTTCTTTATTCTCTATCAAATCCACAAATTCTTTGGCATGCAGTTCTGGGAGCAAGCTGTGCTACTTTGAGGAGGTGAAGGAAGCTCTTAGACTCAACCTGGAACCAACTCCAATTTCCAAGAAAGAAACCAAGAGTTGTCAGAAACAACTCCTGTAACAATCTTATGAAAGAACTTTGATATAAAGCCATTGGCCTCTTAAGAATAAAGCACTTGTTACTAGGCAGAAAAGGTCCATGTATCTTTCGAAAGGAAAGGGGTTGTGCCTGATGAAAGAATCTTATTTACTGGTCCAGAGAGGAGACCGTATTAGAACTAGTTTTAGAATGGGATCAGTAGTTGGCGTAATGGCTATATTGCTGGACTCTCATGTAGTCGACCGTGGTTCAAGTCCTGGACCTGGTGCCTTAAACTCATGTCAAGTGCATGTGCATGCGTGCTCAAGATCCTGAGAGGAGAACGGAGAAGGGATTGTGGCATGGCCATTCCCCCCGGGGGATGATTTCTCATTTTCTGTCTCTCTGTCTTTCAAGTGAGCACATGATCCCTATCGCAAAAACCTCTCAAAAAAAAAAAAAAGTATATATATAAATAAACCAACCATGATGAGAACTTTATGAAAAAAGGAATAAGTTTTCTAACCTATGATGAAAGAGATGAAGAAATACAGAATTATTTAAAACTCTGGAAAAAAAATTTTTTGGACTATTTTGAAGCAACATACGATATGGATTTTAAAAAAAAGAAAAAAGAAAGAAAAAGAAGTCCCTTCCAGGACCCTCCTGAGGATCCTTCAGAGAGTTCCAATCTCAATGGAGAACACTACCTTGAGCAGTTCACTTTGGATAAATCCACATTAAAAAACGTAGTATGCAAAATTCATAAAGCTATTAAATTGGTGAATGACATATAAGATTTCTACCACAATTATTTGAAACCATAATTCCTTTAATAGAAGTCAAATGACCAGAAAATGTGACTGGACTTATTTTCTGTCCTAGATATGGTGACAGGCAAGAAGTGTGAATGTCCAGATTAGCTAAATGACTCAATTTTTCGCTGCTAACTTGGAAAGATAATTTTTCACTGAGCTGCAGAAACTAGTAGAAGGTATTTATTTGGTGATTTTAAAATAGCCTATGTAATGGGACCAGCAGATGGCATAATGGTTATGTCGCTGGACTTCCATGTAGTTGACTGCGGTTCAAGTCTCAGACTTGGAGACTTAAAACTCACTTTTGGCATATGTGCATGTGTGCCCAAAATCCCAAGAGGAGAATGGAGGAAAAGGAATTGCAGTGTGGCCATCCCCCCTGGGGGATGATTTTTTTGCTTTCTATTTCTCTGTCTCTCTCTGCCTATCTGGCAAGGGAACTCTTCCAGATAAAAATAAAAATAGCCTACGTAACAATTCATATAATATATAATACAACAATAACTCATATGTATACTGCAACTAATTTGTATCAAAAACTTTTCACAACCACCTCAGGGCAACTCTATGAGATAAACAGAAACTGAAAGGGTTAAATGTTCCCCAAGTGCCTTAGGCATGAAAATGAATTAACTTAATGTTTCCTGGTGCCTTTCATTGAAAGGACCATCTAAAACTCCCAGGTGCTTCTGACATTCTTTCTTCTCTTTCCTATGTCTTCCCAAGTCAGTTGGTCCTTCCTTGACTTAATGCTAAATTGGCTGACCTTGTATTTTCTAAGTTCTTGCCTTCAAACATAAGATGTAATATCAGTCAACAGCTGGCACCAAAACTAAGGTCAGAAGAGATGGCAGACCACCGCAGCCAGATATAACAAAATATCCAGAGGTAACAAAACAACCCAAGGACCAACAGATGTCCTGTCCCAGAATCACCCTAATTACCCAACCAAAGTGCCCCTTTTCTTAAGTCCCAAGAAAGTTCCTTCTCCCCACCCTTCGGAACCAATGCAACTCTCCACATCTGGCCCTTTTTCACTACTGCAAAGTGAATAAGTTCTTTTCTATCTCTTTCTCTGCGTTTGTGAATTCTCTCACAGCCTACAACCAAGGCCACCCTAGTATAGTGCAGAGATCACTGTAACAGATAAAGTTACTTCACCCATGGGTGGCTTTTTGGAGGACCAGAGAGGATAAATGACTTGCACTAGATAACCTAGTAAATTAGAGGCAGAGCAAGGCTGAAACCTTGGCCTACCTGAAGCGATCCAGAATAAGGATGGAGCACAGATGTCAATCAGACTTATGCTTGACACCTAGCTCTGTTAGTTTTTACGTGTGTTATCAATACCTTGTATAAGTTGTGAACCACTTTTAAATCTAGGTTACCATATGTAAAATGGAGTTGACAATCCCCACTTCAGAGTTCTTAAGAGGAAGAAATGCTGACATTTCATATAGTTTCTGGCTATTTCTAACTCCCAGTTCAGTGTTCTTTCTACTCAAGAATATCTTCGCTGCATAAATATTGAGTAGACATTTCATCTTTCCAAGTATTTTTAATAAATAATTATTTAAATTCTTTAAGGACCAGCAGATGGAAAAATTGTTACACCACTGGACTCTCACACGGTTGTGGTTCAAGTCCCAGACCCGGAGGCTTAAAACTCATGCCAAATGTGTGTGTGTGCATGCCTAATATTCCAAGAGGAGGGCAGAAGAATAGGATTGTGGCGTGGCTGTCCCCCCTAGGGTGTGAAACTTTCTGTCTCTCTATCTCTGTCTGTCTGTCTAGTGCACATACCCTATAAGCAGAAAACCTCTCTCACACAAAAATAAGAATTGTTTAATTACTTAACTTATTTATTATTTTAATTCATCAGAGAGAGACAGAGAGAAAAGAAAGCAAGCCACCAGTTCTGGGACTTGAACTGCAGTCAAACATGTGGGAACCAAGTGCCTTACCCACCACACCACCTGCTGATCCTATCTTTCTGAGTCTTAACTTCTCTACTCATAAATGAAAACATGGTAGGTTTTTAAAGAACACTGTACCGTATTCTTGCCAAAGTACAAGTCTGTACATTCCTACCCTTGCTCTGTGTGCTACAGGCAGACTATGTATATACAGGGGCTTAGCATTTCTATAATACAAGAAATCACAATGTCACAGACTCACAGCTATAAAATAAAAGCCCTCCTTCTGCACATTTCAAACTCAAGACACCATGAACAGATGTGGCCACAGGAGGCACATGTTCCATGTACACAGTGTGTAACAGCTGAGTAGGCAAGGAAGCATAGGGGTATTTCAAGTATTAACTTTACTGTAACTAACCACCTTTGTAACTGGTAGTTTGCCTGAAAAAACGTTCTTTTAAACTTGATTTTTTAAAAAGTCTTTTCCAATTCAAAGAAATGTATTATCAAGGTGTTATCCTCTAGAGGAGTTACAAAAACAAGAAGAAAGTTTTTCTCACATTCCAATACCAGATGCCAAGCACTACTGGAATCTGCACTTGTTATGGTCACATGAGCAGAAACTTCTCTATCTGGCAAATGGAAGGTCCATATCCAAAAAAGGAAACATTTCAACTTTCCAGTGGGATGGCTGATAATACAAACTCTATTACACAAAATGAGGAGGAGGATGAGAAAGTAATCTGGTTAAAAGGACTCAATGACTTGGAGACCAGCGATATACTCACCGAGAAGCAACCATGGCTTAATAACACCGACTTGCAGGTCCGAGCTAAGGTCCTGTACATAACCACAACCACCCCCACTGCTCGGCTCTACTTCTTCCACAACATGAATTCTGGCATCTTTCCATGTTTCTATAATTTTCTTTCCAGTTAGCGTCGTCACCCTGGTGCATTGCTTCCTGAGATTATTCCGGGAGAAGGCTTTAATTTCCTGGTTAAGGGAGTGCATTACATGAGCAGTGGCTGAGAACAAGTACCAGCAAACCCAGCAAACACAGAGAAGGGCAGAACTGCTCGTCCCTTATGGCTCAGGTAACAAACCCAGCCTCCCTGGTGCTCGCCGCGCAGGTGACAATAGCAGCCACGCGGTTAGAGAAACACAGACAGGCAGCTCCGTTTTCCGCAGTGCTGTAATGTAAAGCGAGGTTTGATTGGCCATTGAGAAACGCACGCCGATTGGATGCTTTTTTCCCCCCCCCTCCTTCCTGTTGGCCTGAAACCAGCGTTTTTTCCTATAGGCTAGGTGGGCTTCTGGGGGCTTTATTATATAAGCACAATAGTAAAATATAAGATTTAATGCTAGAGGGCCGATATTTCCTGAGTCTTTAAAAGCAGTGATTTTGGGGGTATGTTTCGGTGTCACTGTAGTCACGATCTTGACTAAAGTGCTGACTTGTTTAGACAGGTCAGTGGAGTCACAGTACAAACCTATTTACGGACCCTTTCCGGGGTCCCACTTACTTTAAAAAAAAAAAAAAAATTATTTTATTTAACTTTATCCATTCATTTATTTATTTTTTAATTTGACCAGAGAAGGAGAGAGAGAGGGAGAGAGGGAAAGTGAAAGAGCAAGTCACCAGGTCGGGATTTGAACCACGTCTGCCGTGTGGGAGTCCAGCGTCCCCAACCACCACACCACCTGCTGGCCCCTGGTCCCACTTACTCTTAAGCTAGTCCAGGCAGGTTCAGACTTTAAAAGTTGGAAGGCGGGAACCAGCAGTTAGTGTAATGGCTATGTTGCTGGATTCCCACGTAGTCGACCGCGGTTCGCGTCCCGGACCCAGTGGCTTAAAACTCACACCGGGCGCGTGTGCGTGCATGTCCAAGATCCCGAGAGGAGAATGGAGGAGAAGGGATTGTGGCGTGACCATCCCCCGGGGGGGGGGT